AATCTACCTGTGATAGGAAGCCACTGGGAAGTTTTAAGCAAAGGGATTTGATATGATTGATGTTTTGAAAATATACCCCAGCTGCCCTTAAATAACAGAAGACAGCAGTATCACAGTCACAAAGCAACACAAAATTAAATGCCATAGAAATACCTGAATAAGAAGTATTTTGTAATTAGAAGAGAAACAGATCATTTGATGGGGCTACAGTGAACTGGGAAGACTCAAAGCAGGGGCCAGAACCAAGGCAGGATTGTGAGGGGTTGTCCAGGGTGGATGCTGTCTGTGGAGAGGTCCTATCCATCAGGACAGGGGCTGGGAGGAAGAGGGGGCAGGTGGTGATGGCCCTGGGGGATTTGTTACTTCATCTTCCAGAGCCATAATTTCTGGCACTGTAAAACGGACCTACTGAGCTGGGTCACATGTCTGGTGGGGCTGCTGCAATACAGTGTGGAAGCCCAGCACAGATTGCGAGTGCTTTCCTTATAGAGGTAGGGAATTCTGGGAGCTGAGGCCGAAGTCCAGGAGACAGCCACGTGTGTGAGCTGCAGAAACTGGTTTCCTGGTATCGACCTCAGCTGGCTTCGCATGTCTGTGGCAGACATTGCAAGATGGTCACGGCTCCTCTTCCCAGTGAGCCAGTTCTCAGACTCAGCCTCTGTCTCAGGCCCACTGCTGATGGAAGCTAGCAGGTGGAATGAAACCTGCTTGCCACCCTAGCAGGGCAGTGGCGTCAAAGGCCTGGAGCCTGATAAAGGGATGAAGTAAACCTCCCTGCCAGCACACAGTGAATTCTCATCTTCAGGAGTCCTGCCACATCAGCTGGGTCACTTTCGAAAGAAACAGTGATTCGCAGTGAATGGCAACAGCTGGCTTTTCTTTGTCTTCCCTCCCCCGACTCCTGCTGCAGTCCCACTGTCCACCTTGACCGTGGGCCCTGCCAGCAGCTGGCCTGACAGCGCCATCCATATCATGGAGGGTATGGGGAGAGTGGTCAAGGGAGCCTCTCTTCCCTACCTCTCCCAACTCCCACGGAGGCCACCCAGGGCCTCACGCCTGTATTTCCTGAGGCCTCCCTGTGTGTCCTCCACTATGTGCTGCTGGGCCGAGTCAGTCTGTCTCAGGGCAGTGGACCTTTGAGGACTTTGCAGGGACCACTCACGTCTCTCCAGAGCAGGTTGAACTCACTCACAGCCGCAGGCGAGTCTCTGAGCTTCCTTCTCCTGCAGTTCGTTCATGCAGGGTGAGCCCCTCGCTCTGCCCCAGTCGGAGGAGGTCAGCCTGAGAGCAGGAGAGTGAGGGGCTCACCTTGGACAGGTGCAGGGAGCAGCAGTCTGGGGGTGCCCCAGGGGCAGGGAGATCCCTTTAAGAACTGTAGAATTTTTTCATCCTGACCATGGCCCCAAAGGATGGTTTATTCCACTCTATTTTAGTGAGAAGCAAAAAAAAATTTTTAATCTTAATATACCTCATATTAAGTCAGTAGTCCGTGTTCTTCCGCTTCCCGTCCCGTTGGAAAGTGATTGGCTTGGAGTCTGGTGGCCTCCTTTGTCCTGGCTCCTAACCCCAGTTCTGAGGATCCTACTGGAATTACACATACATGTGGAGTATCTGTATCAGTGTGGGGAAGGAGAAGAGAGGCTTTTGTGACAGTCTCAAGAATGTGACTGCTGGGGAGGCTCAGACTCCTGCCCCAGCTCTCCCTGGTCCCTCTTGAAGTTCTTCCTCTCACTGCTGAGGTGGGGGCCACTGCCTAGAGGGAGGGGCCTGCCTACTGTCCCCCACTGGATCACGGGCTGCACGTGTCCCATTGGGAGCAGGCTCAGGGAAATACAAATAGCACTGCATGCTTTTGTTTCAGGTGCATCCTATTAAATGGGCTTTTGTGGTTGCCTCTGGGAATCTACATGTAATCGGTGTGTAAAATTGTTTCTGTGGGGAAAACAGCCAACTTAACAAAACAACCCTTTTGTAACTGGATTATTTAGGCGACACATGGCTTGTGATGATGCTAATGTTCATTTCTGGAAAGTGATATTCTTGTCATTCAAAATAATGATGATCTTGATGCCTCTACAGCTCCTGATAGGGGGGATCCCAAGTGGGGTCTAGTCAGACCATAAACTCCCAACGTTGTCTAACCCTGTGTGCATTTTTCTGGAAGAAGGGTTTACCACTTTGATCATGATCTCCATAATGTCTGACTGCAGGGGACATTAAGAACATCTGCTGTGGAGAACCAGGCCAGGAACAGCCAAGCTGCCCTGCCCAGCCCAGGGGCAGCCTCTAGGTGGCTGAGCTCAGCAGTCCCAGAGGAGCCCTTAGGAGCACTTTTGGGGCTGTGTGCCTGGCTCAGCCCTGGCAGCGGAGTTCTGCACTGCTGAATTGGGCATGGGGACATCCTTGTTTCTCTGAGGCTGGCCCTGCCCTCCTGACTGGGACCTCTGTCCTCTGTCTCTAACTTGCCCCCATGTGTCCTTTCATCTACCACCTCCAGGAGGTCTTCTCAAGCCCCTGGTCACCCCAGGAGTTGTCTACTAATTATTTAATTAGGTCTCTGCATTGCTGACCAGTAAATATTTATCATATATCTATTAAATGATGATCCTTTTGCTTCATGGGGAGGTAGAAGGTAAAAAAAACCTCAAGTCCCACCTTTAGAGTCACCATCTGGGGCCAGGCACGGTGGCTCACACCTGTAATCCCAGCACTTTGGGAGGCCGAGGCAGGTGGATCACGAGGTTAGGAGATCGAGACCATCCTGGCTAACACAGTGGAACCCCATCTCTACTAAAAATACAAAAAACTAGCCGGGCGTTATGGCGGGCGCCGGTAGTCCCAGCTACTCGGGAGGCTGAGGCGGGAGAATTGCTTGAACCCAGGAGGCAGAGGTTGCAGTAAGCTGAGATCGCGCCACTGTACTCCAGCCTGGGCGACAGAGCAAGTCTCCATCTCAAAAAAAAAAAAACAAAAAAAACAGAGAGTCACTGTCCGGTACCTAGAGCCCAGCGTGATGAGTGTGTAGTGTGTGTACAATATGTAATAGGGCTAAAAGCAGCTGCCAGCTCCCCCAGGGCTGCCAGGGCAGCTGAGGAGTGCTCTTCCTCTGGTTCATCCCTTGAAGACATCATGTGTGCCACTATATTCCCCTCTGGACCAAAGACCATGGTCCTGTCTGTCATTATACTGGAAGATTCTAAGGGCTAATGCCTTTTCTACCCTTTCTTCTGCATCATAGCCCAACAGGAGTAGGGAGCTTCCTAGATAATGGCAGCAGAGATGCCTGTATACCCAGCAGTTCCTCCTCTTCTCGCTATGGAGCCTCCCAGTTGAGGGTTAGCAGTGTCTCTCTTCTTGGATCCACCTGGGAAGAACAGACATGTTGGTGTGGCTCGGAACTGTAGTCACTCCCTTGGCTGCATTCCATGAGGGTCAGTGCCCTTGACCAAGTCATGTCTCCAGTGCTCTGTCCAGAGGAGGAGCTTGACAACACTGCCTGGGAGCTCGAGGATCGGTTTGGTTTTCTGTTATCAGTTAAGTGGGGACTAGCACTCCAGGGTCCCTTGTCCCTGAGAGGGACAGGGTGAGGATGAGCTAAGGAAGCCAGGTACAGGCAGGAGTAGAGTGGAGAGATTAAGCATGAGACAGGTTCATGTCTCACCTGGAGCTGAGTTCTGCAGAAATGGCCTTGGAGGAGGAGACAGGAGCTTTCATCCCTGCCGTGTGCTCAGCTGGAGGCAGGAAAGCCGATTCCATAGCTCAGTGGGAGGTCTCCTCTGATTATACTGTTTGACTTTCTGTCTTCCTTTCTTCTTGTCTTTCTTTTTCCTAACAATCAGTGGTAGAATTACAGTGTTCTCAGCTCCCACACAGTAGCACACCCCTGAGAAGGTTGAGTCACGACCTGTCATCCACTGATCCTGGTTAATGCATGGTCCCTGCACAGCCGGGCTCACCTTCTGAGCAGCCTCCAGCCTAAGCCAGTCTGCAGACCCCTCACCTCCCAGTCCCTCCAGCATCGGAGGCCAGAAAGTACTCTTTCTATTAAAATGAAAACGATGTACAAATGTCAAGGTCTGTCATCTACACGAAGTGCTTAATTACTTTTTAATGCATGAAATTTTATGATTTGTGACATCTTACTGTGTTCATGTGGCTGTAAGAAAAGGACGGAGCAGTTTCTATCCCAAGAAAATCCTATCATGTCATGTGGGGACAACTGGGATGTAATTATGTCCCATACTCATGCTTCTGTGAATTTTTATGCCCAGCTCAGGGCCTCAGGTCTCAGAGGCCTCTTTATGTAGTTGTTTTATTTTTGTGTCTGGGGTACCTTCCCAATACCCCAACCCATTTCTGGTGGATTAAGCAAAATATTTCTTTTCTTTGAGCTGGTGCTGCTGCTGCTTTTCTCCCAGGTCCCCCCAGGGTCTGGGAATGGGGCTGAGCTGCCTTACAGAGGCGGCGCAGGGGAGCATCCCGAGGGCCTTCTGTCCAGAGAAGATGATGATGATGATCACGGCATAGTGCCACAGCCTCCACGCTGCCTGCAGCTGGGGCCTCTCACCAGATCGGTTGGGTTTTCAACTCAGCTCTGTGACCCACGGCTGTGTATGCAGCCCTGGGCAGTCACCTGCCCTCTTGGTGCCTCAATTGTCTAATCCATAGAATGGAGATAATGTCAGTTTCTACTCTGTGGGGCGGTTTGAGGCTGTAAAGCACTGGTCAGTACCTGGCACACCAGGGCTACATACACGTTGCCCGTATTCTTTATGTAGTTGTTTTATTTTTGTGTCTGGAGTACCTTCCCAATACCCCAACCCATTTCTGGTGGATTAAGCAAAATATTTCTTTTTTTTGAGCTGGTGCTGCTGCTGCTTTTCTCCCAGGTCCCCCCAGTGTTTGGGAATGGGGCTGAGCTGCCTTACAGAGGCGGCGCAGGGGAGCATCCCGAGGGCCTCTGTGCCATAAGAATGGTTTCTCTTGATCTCTCTCCACAGGGTGTGGCCACTGTAAGAAAATGAAGCCAGAGTTTGAGAAGGCAGCAGAAGCCCTCCATGGAGAAGCAGATGTAAGCTTCCTTTCCTTCCCCTCACCGTTCTCTTTGAAAGAATCATTGACAGGTGGAATCATTATGACTTTGCCCTACAAGCCCTGCTGCAGCTCCCCTGGTCCCTGGAGGCCAGCAGTACCTCTGTGTGCCCAAGTAGAACGCCTTAGACAGATGGGATCCTAGAGGAGGGCAGAAGGACTATTGGGCCATGTTCCCATGCCCGTCCGGGTGACCTCTACCTGCTCCCTCTCTTCTCTGGGACCCTGGCTAATGGGAACAGGTGCCAATCTACTCAACGTGGCTGGTGGGGCAGATTCAAAAGCCTCATCTCAGCTCCTAAATGAGAAATGGCCATGCCAATGTTCAATTGTTCCCTGGGATATGGGAGCCCATCGGGCTAGCCACCCCAGTTAAATTCCGGCAGGTCCAGGATGGGCTGTGGGGGCAGCGTCTGGGCTCCTGTGTTCCACCAGCACCGCATCTGAGGCTATAATGCATGGTTGGCCTTTCCCCCATCCCAGAGCTCTGGTGTCCTTGCAGCTGTCGATGCCACTGTCAACAAGGCCCTGGCAGAAAGATTCCACATCTCAGAGTTTCCTACATTGAAGTATTTTAAGAATGGAGAGAAATATGCAGTGCCCGTGCTCAGGACAAAGAAGAAGTTTCTCGAGTGGATGCAAAAGTAAGTGTTACGATCTCAATAGCACATCCTAACTGCCGGCTGGCGGCCCCTGGAGACCACCTTGAGGAGGTGAAGTAAACTTTATGGTCAACGTCCTGGGCTCAGGCCCACAGGAGTCAAGACGGAGCTGACTTCCTCAACCCTAAAGCCACCCTTTGTGTGCTGATCACATGTCCTGATCAGCAGGTCACTGCTGGCAGTCCTTCTGGACGCAGCTTCATCGACACACTAAACCGTGTGTTGCTTTTTCTCTATCTCAGCCTCCTTAGGCCCAAGTCTCATTGTCTGCATTTTATTCCAGTCCCTTTGAATAAATGAAGGAGACACAGCTCTTCATAGCCAGAGCTAGACTCATTTCGTCCAGGTTTGCTAGTGGTTGGCCGGGCCTCCGGTAGTGTCCACGGGGCAGGCTGCGGTGGTTTGCAGCTGAGGATAAAGATTTTGAAGAGCCCCCTCAGCCTGTGTATTAGTTTGCTAGTGTTGCCATAACAAAGTAACAGACCAGATGGCTCAACAATATAATATAACAATATAACAGAAGTTTATTTTCTTACAATTTTGTTTTGTTTTGTTTTGAGACAGTCTCACTCAGTCACCCAAGCTGGAGGCACAATCTCAGCTCACTGCAGCCTCCACCTCCCAGGTTCAAGCGATTCTCCTGCCTTAGCCTCCCAGGTAGCTGGGATTACAGGCGCATGCCATCACCCTGGCTAATTTTTTATATTTTTAGTAGAGACGGGTTTCACCATGTTGCCCAGGCTGGTCTCCTAAGCTCAAGTGATCCACCCACCTTAGCCTCCCAAAGTGCCAGGATTACAGGCATGAGCCACTGTGTGCAGCCTATTTTCTTACAATTTTGGAGGCTAGAAATCAGAGATCAAGATGTTGGCAGGGTTGGTTTCTTCTGAGGCCCCTCTCCTTGGCCATCTGCCTGTGACTTCCCATGGCCGCCCCTCTATATGTATCTGTGACCTAATCTGCTCTTCTTATAAGGACACCAGTCATGTTGGATGACAGCACACCCTAATGACCTCATCTTAACTGAATTATCCCTTTAAAGGGATAATTTATCTCTAGAGATAGTCACATTCTGAGATAATGGGGGTTAGGACCTCAACATAGGAATTAGAGGCGGACACAGTTGAACCGATACGGTCTGAGCTACTTTGTTAGGACATTGGTCAGATATGAGGTGTTTATTTAAAGCACAGACTCTGAGACTCTGATTCAGGAGGTGTGAATGGGAACCTCAGCCATGGTGTTCTGAGAAACACCAGCTTGTGGAATGGGAACAAAGTTGCCACTAGATTCAGGGGAGGCCTCTGGCAAGAGGTGAATGGACTGGTGAGATCCTGGCCTCAGCTTCTCCCACTTTGTCCTGCTCGTCCACTGGGAGGATTCGGAAAGTAGCCAGGCCTTTGTCTTAGGGACCAGAGGAAAACGATGGTTTGCCTCTGAAACAGACAAGGTGCTCACCCGTCAAGGCCTTCTAGTGTCTGAAGCAAGTGGCTTGTTCACACCCACTTTTCCAGCCTTGCTCTGGTGCCAGAGCTGGTTCACTGGAAAGGACTGGGTGGGGCGGGGGATCTGGCCAGGTCCCTGTGATGCCTGGACTTATGGTTAGAGAGCCGAGGGAATCCAGAGTGTCGATCATCACTAATCAGTGCTCCAGAGTCCTGGACACAAACAGCGAGCGTGAGGGGCCTCCGCCCTTTCTGTGTGCCGCTGCTGCTACTGAGAGCCTGAAAAGCACACAGGCTAAGTGCTTTCAGGTTTAAGTACTTTCTTAAGCATTTTAGATCAAGAGCATGGGCTTTGGAGTCTGAGAGACCTGGGCTCAGATCGTGACCTTGAGCCATTTCTTTGACGCCTCTAAGCCCCAACTTCCCATCTCCATCTATGTAAGATGGAGACAGTAATTTCCACATAGACTTGTCTAGGGAATTAAATGAGGAATTAAAAAGGGGAGTTGGGTTATAGAGAGGGGAGCAGGGGAGCAAAGGCTATTGCAAGGCCCTCGAGATCCATCCTTGCATGAGGCAGAGTGGAAGGACCCAGTGGACAGCAAGAGACTGAGAAGCAATAATATTTATCCAACACCTGGCATTTATTAGAGCATCTAGGCTCTCAGTAAATATCAGTTCCTTGACTGAGTAGATGCTTTACATATATTCTATGCTCTTCATAAAGATCCTATTGTCCTCATTTAACAGAAAAGAAAATGGAGACTCAGAGGGGTTTAGTAACTTACCTAAGGTTGCACAGCTGGTAAGGTTGCACAGCTGGACTTGAACCCAGGCCCGCCTCACTCCTTGGCCCATGCTCTCCACCAGAACAAAGGCTGAGAAGCAGAAAATAATGAGCGATAATGTAGGGTCCTAGAGGGGGCAGGAAGGAGGGGCCTGGGAGCCCAAGTGGAGGTGGCGCTATGCCCTTGTCAAGGAGTTCATGGCCCACAACTGGGGGGCTGCCCTGCCCTAAAATGGGGTCAAGTCTTCCATATTTTACAAAATGGCTCCTTAAGGGGCTCCTCGGAGGGAATCAGGGAAGATATTTGCTGGTGGCACAGATTTGTTTGCGTTTGAACTACGGTTTTAAAATGAAATTTTAGAAGGATTGTAGTGGTTTCTTCATGCACGTTCCCCCGAGTGGTTGGGACATTGAGGGTGGACTTCCTTGCCCATCTAAAAATCTCTCCTCATGGCTGCCTCCCCCCTCCCCTGGCTTCTTGCAGCCCTGAGGCCCCCCCACCGCCAGAGCCCACGTGGGAAGAGCAGCAGACAAGCGTGTTGCACCTGGTGGGGGACAACTTCCGGGAGACCCTGAAGAAGAAGAAACACACCTTGGTCATGTTCTACGCCCCTTGTAAGTAGCTTGGGTGCTCACTGAGTGGCACGGTAAGAGGTGTTTGGCCCCACCAAACCAAGAAGACCTGCACACCCACCCCAGGGACCAAGGCAGCTATGAACCAGGCTCTCCAATTTTATTCCAGGCTGACAGGCCCTTCAAATCCAGGGCCTCCTTTTGTCAGCCTTGTTGGACTCCCCTTCCTTTGGGGCAGCCTTTCTCGTATCCTAAATCCCTCTGCCTCTGTGCTGGTTCCCTCTTGTCCCTGGGCTTCTCCATGCCCCTGTCCCCTACTCGCACACTTCCCACCCCTCAGCTGCCTCCGCCCCCTCTTCCTCCTCCAGACACTTGGAACCCCCTCTCCCTGCCCTTCCAAATGGCTCTGGAGTCATGGCATAGGCACAGCCACATTCACTCTTGAGCTCCTGTGCTGTTCTCGTTTTAATCAGAGCTTAAGCTGAAGAAGTGACACGTCTGCCGACATTGACGTCTGTGACCTCGGGTTTCTGTGTATTCCCATTTTGAAGTTGTTAATTGATACTTACAATGAAAGGTTCTTAGAATTTCCCACTCTCTGCTGCCCTTCTCTCTCTCCCCCAGGTTACAACTCAGCTTAATGGAGTGAGGATAATAAAAGCTGCGGTCTACAGAGAAGCCAAGCAGCTCAATCTAGCCATAAACCCGCTCAGTTGTAGCCGGCCCTCCTGTTGGCTCCCCCTGCCCCCACCTTTCAAGTGTCAGTAATCCATGGAGTCTCTGTGATCTCAGGGTCTGAGAGGGGCCGCCACAGCCTCAGCCCCCTCCCTGAGGCAGCCTGCTTGCCCATCTCTTTCTGCCTTTCCTTCTCAGAGTGGGACTTGTCCCCTCCCAGTCCGTTAGGGAGCTTCCGGCTGTCCTCTTCAGTCTGTACAGTGTGTCCAGAAGCCTGAAAATTTTCGGGAGCTGATGTCTTCCTTCTGGCGGACTGAGCCTTGCCCAAGGCCATAGGGCAAGTTAGTGGCAGGCCCCTTCCGCAGCCTGGGTGGCTCGCTCTCTGTCACAGGCACAGGCCAGAGAGAGAGAGTGTTTTCAGCCACAAGTGAGAACCTGGCTGCAGGAGTGGGAGCCCTTGACCAGCCCTGGGGTGAACTTTACAAAGTCCAGATGAAATACTTTCCCCCAGACCTCTGGACCAGAGCCACAGTGCTTCCTCTGCCTCTCTTCAGCTCCTCCCTGACTGAGGGGCCTTCAGAGCAGACATAAGCCCTCCGCCATCCTTGACCCTGGCTGCTGAGGCAGACAGGTGCTTCAATCCCCAGGGAATCTGGGAGAGACTCTTACCCCTTTGGGCTGCCAAAGATCTACAACTCCTTCCTTCCTCCTTCCTTCCTTCCTCCTTCCTTCCTCCTTCCTTCCTTCCTCCTTCCTTCTTCCTTCCTTCCTTCCTTCCTGTCTTCCTTCCTTCCTGCCTGCCTTCCTTCCTTCCTTCCTTCCTTCCGCCTGCCCTTCCTTCCGCCTGCCTTCCTCCTTCCTCCTTCCTCCTTCCTCCTTCCTTCTCCTCCTTCCTTCCTCCTCCTTCTTTCCTCCTCCTGCCTTCCTCTTCCTCTTCTCCTTCTTCCTTCCCTGCCGCCTTCCTTCCTCCTCCTTCCTCCTTCCTGCCTCCTTCCTCTCCTTCCTCCTTCTCCTCTTTCCTTCCTTCCTGCTTCCTCCTTCCTCCTTTCCTTCCTTCTTCCTTCCTGCCTGCCTTCCTTCTTCCTCCTTCCTTCTCCTGCCTTCCTCCTTCCTCCTTCTCTCCTTCCTCTTCTTTCCTTCCTCGCTGGCCTTCTCCTCCTCCTTCCCAATTTTTTTTTTTTTTCCTCCTTCCTTCCTCCTTCCTTCTCTCCCTCCTTCCTCTTCCTTCGCTTCTTCTCCTTCCTTCCTTCCTGCCTTCCTTCCTTCCTGCCTTCCTTCCTTCCTTTCTTCCTTCCTTCCTGCCTGCCTTCCTGCCTGCCTGCCTGCCTTCCATCTATCCATCAGATATCAGCTCTGTGCTGTGCAGTGTCCAGGGCCCAGGGTACAAGGGAAGGAGACATGTCCCTGCCAGGCCTCAAGAGGCTCACTGTCTACCCTGACGAAACTCTAAACGCTGAGTGACTCAACCTCTGGCAGAGGGTTTGCTCCTTAGAGTTTCTTCATCTCTCTTACTGTGTTTTTCTGTCCCTAAACCTTGCCCCAGGGACATACATCTTTATCAGTGGGTTACAGGGGGAAGACTGTCCAAGGACAAAAAAGATATCTCTTTTGACTTTTTAATAATAAAAAAATACTTATTTTTATATATAAATATAGCATATACTATATACTTTTTGTATATGAAGGATCTAAACACTACAGAAATGTCAAATAGTAAAGTCAAATGCCTGATAGAGGTCTAAAGGAAAAGCAGCCTGCCCACACATTTCCTGCTCCCCTTCTAGCTGCCCCACCCCAACACCTTACCTCCCCTCACATCTCTCCACCTCCCACATCCCTTCTCCCACCATGTCTGCCCCCACATCCTGTCTCCCCAGCCTCTGCACGGCTCTTCCTCCTGCTGTTTCTTTGCTCCTTTTATGCTGAATGGTCTGGTCATGGTGACTGCCCTTCTCAGGCCAGCTTGGCGGAGTCTCTAGAACTGCAATTGTCCAGCCTGTCCTCAGTCTTTGTTCCTCTTTCCCCTCTCTGAGAGGCTTCTTTGGTTTTCTGCTACACAGAGGCAGTGCCTTTTTTTTTTTTTTTTTTTAAGCCCACATTAAAAAAAAAAATCATCCACATCTGGCCCTCCTGACACCTCTTGGAAGCATCTTCATGCACTTTCTGAAACAGCCCTTCCCCTCCCATTATTCACTGGCCCCACTCTTTCTTTTGGATAATGAGAAAATTAGATGCAACAGAAGTCCATTAATCTGAGGCCTAGATATTTTAAATTGATGATAACAGGAATTTACACTAGGCTGACAGTTACCTTTAGACTTTCAATGAACAAAGGTTAAAAAGGAAAAATTAATAGTCAAACCAGGTTTCCAGGAAGGGGTGGTTATTTTCAGCCAGACTAATGCTATTATGGGCATACAGCACACACAAGGGGCCTGCAGCTGCCTGCAGGAGCTGTCTGTGACGTACCTTGTTAACCAGTAGATTGCGCTCTTTAAGTGTTTTGAAAATTTTATAACATCATCCCTTTATAGTGTGACATTTTTGTGAATTTGAGCTATTTTTCTTTCTGTTATGTCAAATTAGTGAAGTGTTACTTGTAATTGCCATTTTAGGCTATTAAAAAATCAGCCAGTCTCTGCTGAGCTAGGCTATGCTAGACACATTGCTAAGCTGTGCTTGTCTCATTTCTGATATAACCCATCGCTGGCCCAGGTCTCTTCTGCTCCTTCTGCATGAGACTTGGCAAATCCCTCTACACCCCCACCCCCCGTCACCCCCCACAATGCTCTGGGCCAGCTGGCCACTCTGCCAGCCAGGTCATGTGGGTGGTCCTGCTCATCTCAGGACTGGATCAAGGAAAAAATTCAGATTAAACTTGTAGCTTAGCCTTAATTTGGTTTCACAAAACCCTTTGAAATGCCAGTCATTATTATCTTATTTTAAAAAGGAGAAAGTAGATGAGCAGAGCTGTTTCTGTTCCCACCGTGGCATCTCTGCCTTCCCGAGGCTGAGGTAGGCCGGTTGACATAGGAGGTGTGGGCTGGAGCCTCCCCTTGCTCAGGGAAGGCCTCCCCTCAGAGCCCTACTGTGCCCTGGGCAGTTCTGTTCACCAGTGGCTGGGAAAGGGCTGAGAGAGGAGGGGGGTTTGGGTTCTGATCTGTTAGTGCTGAGGGAAGAGCTGGGTCAGCCTGCAGCTTCCTGGGCTCACCAGGACAGGAGGAGAAAGTGGCCCCCACAGAGGTCCCTACCCTGCTTCTGAGACACTGAGGTCAGAGTTGGGGCTCAGGGTGATGCCCAGAACAAGAGACAGATGTTGGAGTTAGGGGCCCCTGTATAGTTCAAAGGCCTTAGGCTGCTCTGACAAGCTTTCTACCTGGGACAGAGACCGTCAAGGGATCTGAGGACTGCCTGGTGACATCCTGTAGCTTCTCTCCCTCTTACCCTGACCATGGCCTTCTGGTTCCTGGGTTCGAGGTTCTGGTTATTGTAGAGCAGAGGGTCAACGGAGACCCGGGGACCAGGGCCTGGTTTGGCTGCTCATAGTCTAGGCTGGGTGGGAGTTGCTAGGAACGCAGAAGTTAGCAGCAAAGCATGAGCAGTGGGTGCCCTGAAATCCCCCCAGCTTGCATTTTCCAGTGCCACTTCCTCTCAGTCAGGAAATGGAGAGATTTGCTATTGTCCCTGGAGCAAGAGAAGATTGTAGCAGGCTCTGAGAATTCCGTGTCTTCCTCTTTAAGCCCAAAGCTCCCTCTGCCCCCAAGATCAGACTCTTCCTCGTCCTCTGTGGAAGGAGCAGAACTATACTACAGTGACCATTGCCCCCCAGCCTGGGCAGGAGCATATGATGCTTGTGACAGGGACTCCTACCAATCCGCCCACCAATAGATCAGACATGGGCGGGAGGTGGTTAGACTGGCAAGGTTGATGAAAGGACCCTGACAGTGTGGCGGGCTGGGTTGGGGCTCCTGGAGAGCCCTCTCTGGAGCTTTCAGGAAGGGCCCCTGGCCCTGCAGCCTCCCTGCCCATGCATCACTGTCCTGTGTGCTCTCTTCCCCCCTCACACAGGGTGCCCACACTGTAAGAAGGTCATTCCACACTTCACTGCTGCTGCTGATGCCTTCAAAGATGACCGAAAGGTAAGGATAACCCTCTTCATCTCCTGATCTGCCTCCAGCTAATTCCTACACCTTCCTCCTTGTCATTCAAGTCCCTTCCCCAAACAGGGGCAGGTCAGCTAAGACCTGTAAGCAGGGAATTCCTTGGGAACCAGGACATTCTCTTTATAAGGAAGATAGGGCAGGCTGGATTTATGCTGCAAAATCAACTAAAAGGGATACGCTAAACCATTCCAGCACTTACTTGGAGGAGAGGGATGGTTAAAAGGGTCATCTGTTTACTTTTTTAGTGCTTGAACATTTTTACTGTAGGATTATCATCTTGCATTACTTATATAATTAAAAATACAAATTTAAAAATCCAACAAAAGTCAACTGGAGGATGCCACGGTGGAGGACAGCAAGGCTATGTCAGTGGAGCCTCGCCCTGCCTAAGTGAAAGGCTCCTGCAGCTGCCAACTGATGAAGCATAAAATTAACAAGCTAGAGCTGCAGATTGGATTAGAGTGCAGGGCCGCCAGGTGCGTCCCCCAGGCACATCCCCCCAAGGCAGCTGGTGCAGTGGGGGCTGCTGCTGGGAGAGGGTTTGTGGGACAGGGAAATACCCCTGAATTTGGGGAAGTGTGATTGACTGCCAGGCTTTGAGTTCCCTTTTCATCCATGCCAGGCAGTGCTGATGCAGAAGACTGCAAAGATTCCTCCCAACCCTGAGACTCAGTCATGGGAACCTCTGGCCTAACAGGCCCTAGAAGCTGGCAGTCATGTGGGATCTGCATTCACACACACCCAAACCCAGAGTCACACGTGGGTTTACCTACTTTCCTGGGTGGAATCCCAGGTGGGGCGAGGGCAGGCTGGAAGGAACCAAGGCCAGACATAAGCTGAGCAGAGAGTCCTGGATGGTAAACAGGCCAAGCAGGCCTAGACGGAGGTTCAGCCAAGGCAGGGAAGGGGAGCTGGTATCAGTGGACAGCACTCACAAGCAGAGACGGATGGCCATCCCAGGGCTGGGTGGGCAGGGCTTGCAGTTTTGATCGAGGCCAACAGGAGGTCAGGCCTGAAGGTACCATCCAGACCTTGTAGGAGCAGAGATACAGGTGCTGGGATCACCTTAACGGGCCCAGAGAGAGTGGCAGAGATGGGGTGATGAGAACTTTACAGGGACATAAAGACAAAAGAAGCCAGGCTGGGGACAGGCCCATGTAGGGAGAGTAGGGACGAACTGGGGACCTGATTCCCACTTAGACCTAGAGCCTGGGACTCTCTCTGGAGTCAGGAGGTCCCGTTGTTACCCACAAGCCTTGGCTGCAGCTTTGAGACACCCCTCACCCCCACCAGAAGGGAGTACAATGACCAGAAGCATTTTCTCCTCTGCCTGCCCCTTCCCCTGCACTGAGGGGTGTGTGGCAGCGGAAGCTTCCTTCCCATGTCCATGTCCCTCATTGTCCCCACCCACTTGTGCACAGCACAGGGTGGTTGCTCCTGCTTGGGGGTCCCAGGATATCCAGCACGGCCTGGGCTGCCAGTCCACAGGACTGGAATAGGTGCCACTCTGCATTGACGTCCGTCACACCCCACCCAGAACGCTGGGTGCTCTGGGCAGCAGGAGAAAGGCTGAGGTGTGCCATCTCCCTGTCCCACCAGCCACTCAGGTCTCCACAGGCCCCAGGAGATCTGTGAGGATCCTGAGGCATGACTGGCCCACACAGCCTGGGCTTGCCCTCCCAGCCATGCTGGGGAGCATGGTGTCAGGGAGTGTGGTCCAACTGAGGCACCTGGGGGACTGGGGAAACCCTGAAGGGGCAGCCCCATTGATGTGGCCCCTTTCTGCCCACTAGACCACTGCTGAGGCTGCCCTATGGCCTGACCCGCGTCAGTGCAGGTGAGGCCAGACTTGCCAGGCCTCCAGCGGGCAACTGAGATCCCATGTCTCCTCCCATTCCCCCTCCACTGCTACACAGGGGCCCATTTCCTTGATGCTCCCTTCCCCTTAGACACTGACGCACCTTTGCTTGATTGTCTTAGACCAGTGGTGTTGTGGCGTTTTCCTGGGTTCAATCCCTCTGTCTCTTATTCCTTCTGTCTCTCCTTTCAGCTTCCTTTATTCCAAGCCAGGGATCACCCTCACTTGCATTCAGGAATGCACTTCATAACCTCTCTGTCCGAGGCAGGTGGCCTGCCTGGGTTTCCTGGAGATTACATTCATGACATCAGGGAAGCCAGCCATCTGGCCTAGGGGGCTGAACTTACTGGTGCCTACTCTGTGCTCCAGGCATGGCACCGTGACTACTGGGTCCCATCCTACAACTATCAGATCAGAGTCTCTGGGGGATGGTGCTGGAAATTTGTGGTTTTTAAGAGCTGGCTCTTGTGCTGGCCACAGGCTGGTGTGTGGGGACTGCTGGCCTGTCCCCTCTCCCTTTATATGTGAGAGATCCAGGCCCAGAGAGGAGCTGTGTCCCATGCCCAGGAATGCCCAGCGGGTCACTGACAGCCAGAACTGGGTCTCCTGACACCCCATGCTGCCACTTCTTAGCTGGAATTGTGGGGTTTTTCCACCCAGAAGCCAGCCCCTGTTCCTTTCCCAATCAATATGCAGTTGGTTGTTCACTTCCATTTTCATAGCCAAAGTCAATATTAGGTCCTGCAGAGATTTATTTTACTGAATCAATAAAGCTGTGTGTGGCAGCTCATATTTTAGCCGGGGAGCCTCCACCCCCTCCCGGGAGCTTACTTGGGAACTTAATCGGTTGGCACACTGATGGGGAAAGGACTGCAACGTGTTAGTGTTGGAACAGATGGTGTTATTGAAGGGGCAAGGCAGACAGGACCTGTGGTGGGCTGGCAAGCAGGTGGGGGGCTTACCTTTCACTGCACGTCAAGGTGTCCCCAGCCTGGGGGTGGGGTGGGGCTAGGTGTGAAGGTCACTCCTAGAGGGAGGCCCTGAGACAGTGGGGGCCCCTCCTCTGCGATGAGCCCACTTCGCTGCCGGAATCTGGCCATGACGTGTAGGTCCTCCTGTTTATGAGGCTGGCTACTGCCTTTTCCGAGTGAAAACTCCCTGAGGACAGAGACCTCATTTGTCCTTGAACTCCCCACAGTCATGACCCCTCAGACCTGTGTAAATGTTGACTGGATGAAGGAACAATATAACATATTTGATATTTACTGAGAGCTCTTCTTCCACTGAAAGCATTACTTACATCATGTTGTCCTCACGATAGCTTGCTCAACTAGGTATTGTTACAGTGCTCATTTTGCTGAAGAGGTAGGTGATTGAACCTTAGAGAGATCATATGCTAGTTTCTCAGCCGGAGAGGGGCAGAGTGAGAATCGCAAACAAGCATTGTCAGAGTTTGAGTTCTCCCAGAAGCAGACTCTGCTCCTGGGCTCATGTGCAGGGAATTTATTTGGGAAGTGACCTCAGGAAGTTCACAGAGGATCCTGGAAGTGAGACGTGAAAGGGGAGGAACCAAAGCAGGTGTTTTCTGGGCAGATGACTGTATGAGTCACCAAGGCTCAGTCCCACGGGAAACCTCACCGGGAAACATGACACAGAGCTGTTCCACTCAAAGGCCAAGGAAGCCAGGGTCCTTGTTCTAGAACCCCATCTGTCATTGGCCTTACGTCCAGCTCCTTGAGGCTGGGAGGATGCTCTGAGGCTGAGAGTAGCAGGTGCTGTGGCAAGGGCTGGTCCAAGGGGATGTGGCAGGACACCAGCAGTGTGTGCCCCAGGAATTTGTACCAACCACCATAGAGCAAACTGAGAAATCATAGGTGTTCGTGTTGCAGGTGATCAGTGCAAATCTTGAGTTGGATGTAGGGGTGCAGGCATTTAGGTGAAATTTCAATGGCTGAGAAGAGCTTTATTCGCTGCCTTCTTTCCAAAGAGTCTAAGCTGCTGCCTTTAGGGAGGACGCATTTGTCTCCTCTTCTGTGGAAACTGCACATGGATTCGCCTTTGCAGCTAGAAGTTGCACTCCATGTGTGCAGCTGGCAGCTAGTTTAGGTGATTCAGAACAAGTATACATTTCTAATTTAGTAGATTTATAAAACCATACACTGTGTTTCCAACAGCTCCAGAGCATGTATACAAATTAAATTCATGATTTAAAGCAGATGCAGGGAGAGCAGCAGCCTGGAGCCATGTTCGTCCAGCACTTTCACAGCGGAGCAGCAGCTCCTGGCCCGGGCTGGACATGGGGCCTTAGCTGCTGGCTGCAGGGTAGGAGAGTGTGTGGATGCCCGTGCCCCTGGGCAGGGCCCCATAGCACCTGCCCTGAGAAATGGAACCCCACCATTTGGCCAGGGGAGCATCTGCCTCATGTTTTTAAATACTAAAGTGCTTTAGAGGTGGGCTGGAGTTATCAGAAGTGTGTAGGGGCCAGTCTGGTGGCCTGGGTGAATTGGGCTCCAGGGGATGCTGGGGAAGGTACATTTAGCCTACCTGAAGGACAGCTGCCTCTCCGCCCCGCCAGTTGTCACCTGTGAGACTGCAGGGTAAGTGCCATCAACTCTTCTGACTTTGAAAGAGAAGCTGGAAAGCCAAATTGTTGTATTAGATCTTCTGGCTCCATTTCTATGGTGGAGCTAATTCAGATTTATTTATTTATTTTGTTGTTGTTGTTGTTAAATTCAATGTAGGCCAAATAGAACAGGACTAAGAGCCAGACACAGATTGCAGGCAGCAAGTTTGTAAACTCTGTTTTATAAGTCTCACTATATAGAATGTTACGTAACTAAAGAGTAGAAGGGAAGCATGAGGGTGAGAGGGTGAGGATGGTGCCTGGTGGCCAGGGGAGGCCGCACCTTACTCTTCTCTCCAGCTATCCATCCCGCAGCTCACCTGGGCATGCGGGATATGATGAGTAAATGTCGCCATGGGGGCTGGCAGGACTGTCCTACTTGGAAAGGGGCCTTTGTCCAAATGCAAATAACCGTCAACCAAAGAACTGTGTGAATCTCAGCTATTCAACAATTTTAAATTATCTTATTGAATCACCCTCTTTTAATTTCTTCCAAGCATTCCTTGAGCTCTATCTAAAATGATCTCATTTGTTATACAGCAGACGCTTGATAACTGGACTTTGTCAAGGTCAGCATTGTTCCCCCAGCATCTAGAACAGGCTTGGCACACGGCAGGGTTTCAGTGCGTGTTGCCTGGTGGGAGGACTCCCTCTCATGGGAGTCTGCCCCGTCTTCCGTAACACCTCTGTATTGGGTGTGGCCATTGAGGACCTCCTCTCCGGCTTCCCTGGTGTATGACCCTCAATAGGAAACAAGTTCCCCATTTCTGCTTTATACTCTCTTCCTTTGAAAAAACAACTAATGATGAAGAAAAGCTGCCCAGCATGTGGAATTTACTAGATGGTCAAGAAGAGGCCAGTGGCCAATGTGGGAACCACTTTCTGACCAAACATTCTGATGGCTTTAGTCATGCGGGGCTCCTCCAGTTTCCAGATGTGCTTCCCTGGTCTCCTCCTCTTCCAGTCTTGCCTCAGATGGCGAATCATACAGAGCTCCTTTGCCCCACTCACCTGGCACCTGGGCCACCTCCCTCATCCCTCACATCACACCGTGTTGGAATTGTCACTTTATCCAACCCCTGCCCAGACACTGAGCCCCTAAGTGGGGACAGAGCTTGTATATGGGGTCGGAAGAAGTGACTGTAATAGCAGCTGACATTTCCTGACCACGAATCTGGTGCCAGGTTCTGTGCTCATTGGCCTCACTCGAATTCTCTTATTCAGTCTTCACAATATCCTGATAGCCAAGATACTGTTGTTATCCCCATTTTACAGCTGAAAAAATGAGGCACCAAGAGGCTGGGTCATTTTCTTTAAGTCTTAATGTCCAGGCAAACCAAGAGTGCACTTGGGGAACTTGACTTGAAAGTTCTTACTCTTAACCTTGGCACTATACTGTCCCCCAAGCAACTGTTCCAGAAATATTAGTTGAGAAATGATTGAATCCTCCAGTCCCTTACAGAGAGCACCACAGAAACTGTGGTGTTTACAAATGCTTTCAAGTCATCATTTCCTTTATGATCGTCATACTCTTGATTTTAAAGGATAGTCTAAAGGCACTCCAGGCCAAGTCCCCTAACCTTACCCACCTGGAAATTGAAAACAAGCACCATCAGTCTCCAAGGAGCCCTGAGTTGGGGGTGCTTTGGTTCAGTTCCTACCTGCCACTGAGGAGAAAAATCAGAATGAGCCTGTGACATGGACTAGATGTGCAATCTGTGTTGTGGGGTCCAGGCCTCAGCCTGGGGACACCCTGTGCCAACTCTTCTTACCTTGCCCCCTAGATCGCCTGTGCCGCTGTTGACTGTGTCAAAGACAAGAACCAAGACCTGTGCCAGCAGGAGGCTGTCAAGGGCTACCCCACTTTCCACTACTACCACTATGGGAAGTTCACAGAAAAGTATGACAGCGACCGCACAGTAAGTCGGGGAGAGGCGTCTGCCCAGAGCTCGCTCTGCTGATGGGCAGGGAAACTGCCACTGAGGAGGGACAGCACTGGGCAGCGTCCCAGAAACCGCGGAAGTCAGCTGGAACACTGCACCGAGAGGCCACAGGCCCTCGGCCTGGCTGAGGCTTGACATTGCTGGAGGAGAGTCCCAAGGGGTTGTCACAGATGTCCTGTCCCCAGAGCCAGGCTGGACTCCAGATGCCGAGGGTTTTCTCACTTGCTGGTCAGGGCTGGTGGAAGCCATGCAGACCCTCTCCGCCTTGCAGACGTCTGCCCACCTCTCCCTGTCACAGGAGTGAGCCCCTGGAGGGGCCAGGGGGGTGGGGAGGGAGCGCGCATGGCCAGCTCAGGGATTAAAGCTCCTTTCTCTCTCTCTCTCTCTCTCTCTCTCCCCCTTCCCTGCAGGAATTGGGATTTACCAATTATATTCGAGCCCTCCGGGAGGGAGACCATGAAAGACTAGGGAAAAAGAAGGAAGAGTTATAATTCCTGCCTCAGAAAAAGCTTTTCCATTACACTGTGAATGATACCTGTTTTGTTGTTTCTGAATTTCCACATGTTCTGAAGACAAAGTTTTTTATAGCCGCTTATGGCCATTTTGTACAATTTTGAAATAAAATTAAACCATTTATTTGGTGGTATAGTTTATTTTCATGGAGCCTGTACTAACAAAGGTGGATACTCACATCCTTCTCCTTCCACCTCTGCTGGGAGGTACAGAGCTGTGCCCCAGTGCCCTGTCTGCATGGAGGTCACCCCTGAGAGTGCCGGCCCCCTGTCAGTCATTTGAGAGCAGAACAGGGAAACTGGATCGCAGAATATCCTGCTGGAAAATGACAAGCTAATGAAAGGAAATACGTCAAGATAATCAATGACTTTGGGAGGCTGAGGTGGGAGGATCACTTGAAGCCAGGTGTTCAAGACCAGCCTGGGAAACATCATGAGACCTCATGTCTACAGAAAATAAAGTTACTGGGCGGAGGGGTACATGCCTATAGTCTCAGCTACTTGTAAGGCTGGGGAGGGAAGATTGCTTGAGCCCAGGAGTTCAAGTCTACAGTGATCTATGATCACATGACAACTCCAGCCTAGCTAGAAAGCAAGACCCTGTCTCAAAAATAGAAAAGTAAAAGAAAAAAAGGCCGGGCGCGGTGGCTCAAGCCTGTAATCCCAGCACTTTGGGAGGCTGAGACAGGCGGATCACAAGGTCAGGAGATCGAGACCATCCTGGCTAACACGGTGAAACCCCGTCTCTACTAAAAAAAATACAAAAAACTAGCCGGGCGAGGTGGCGGGCGCCTGTAGTCCCAGCTACTCGGGAGGCTGAGGCAGGAGAATGGCGTGAACCCGGGAGGCGGAGCTTGCAGTGAGCTGAGATCCGGCCACTGCACTCCAGCCTGGGCGACAGAGCGAGACTCCGTCTCAAAAAAAAAAAAGAAAAAAGAAAAAAGAAAAAGATGATCAAGGAAATTGGGATGCTGAAGCAAATGGTAACCAAACACTAGCTTCTGGATTGTTGTGGTTTGAGTATTGGTGTGTTTCCTCTGTGTGTGTTTTCCTGGAACTTACTTAGGTATTTATCTTTCTCCAGCTGTTTGTCTTCTCTTCCTCTGTCCGTTCCCTCCCCATTCTCCCTTTAAAGAAAATTAAGTTGCTGCTTCAGAGGCATGAATGGAGTGGGGGAAGGGGGTCTCTGTGCCAGCTGCTTGCTGTGCACCCTGGATGGAAGGGATGGTGTGTTCTTGAGGTGCAGATGTTAGATCTGCTCACCAGCCCCCACCACTGGCCACAATAACCCCAAATCTTTACGCCACATTTTCCACGGATGGGTGCCTCACTCGGCCTCCTGCCTGTGTACATCTCTTTTTTGACTCACCTTTCCGGTGAGTCCTCATGCTTTCTGCATGCCTGCGTGACTGACACCCAGCCCTGTGCCCAGCAGTGCAGTCAGAGCCTGAGCACAGCGGTAACATGTTTTGTCTGCTCGTAAGTATTTCTCCATGGACAGCGGAGCAGCCTTGCTCTAGTACCTTGTCTTTAGTGATAAGTAGTGGTCCTAGAGTTGGATTCCTCCAGTAGTTCAGGAGGGTGTTGCCTAAGCTGCAGTACTTGGAAGCACGTTCTGGTGGCCTTGATGGGGACTTGGCCTGCAGGAACAGCCCTCCCTTCCTGGACCCAGCTCGCTCCCACCTGGCCTAAGTCCTTCCTGGTGATAAATCTGCTGAGAGCAGGACGGAGCCTCCAAGTTCTTCATGGCTGTGTTGACGATGGTGCCACTGTGGGTGGTTTCATTAAGGGAAATCAAGGTTTTGAGAGCCCTTGTTCTGTGCAGTTCTCCAACTTTCCAATTGACCCTCCTGCCAGTTCAGCCCTTCTCTTTTCCCCTAAGCACCCACTTCCTTGGCAGTGGCCCCTGGACTTCCCCCAAGGATTGGACATGAAAGACAGAAGCATACATTTAGACATCACTGAAGCACAGTTACTGAGTCCCCTCCCGTTGGGGACCATGCACATCATACAAGGTGTCATTTAATCCTGACACAGGTGTTTACCATTCTAGCATGTGTGTGTGTGGACATGGGTCTCCTTCGTTATTTGGAGTATTTGTAGGGGGAACATATTTGCTTGTGTTTTCAAAAGGGTGTTTTTTTTAACTGCACCTTTTAAATAATAACCTCGCAAGAGCCACTTCCTGGCTGGGGACCACTAGTGCCCACCTGCGAGGCACAGGGCTTGCTTTCTGGCCATTCCACAGCCTCAAAGTTCAGGTTTTCCTGGCCTAGCTTCTGTATGAGGACTTAAAAACATCATGAAATATTGTCAATTATAAATTTAAAAAAATTTTTTTAACACATCATGAAATGGAATCCTCTTCACATCCCTCTTTATTGACTTTGGGCATGACCTCAGCAAATTCATCACAGCCCTGGGCAGCTGACCCCGCAGACAGAACTCCCTTCCTCCACTTGCCCCCACCTAATACATCTCACACACACACACACACACACACACACATCACACACAACACACACACACACACACACCCTACGCCGATTCTGGGAACTCTGAGCAGATCAAGCCAGTACTGTGGCATCTGGGTTAGGTCTACTCCCCGTCGCCACGCTTGGTTTTTTGAGGCTTCGCTGTTGTTCACTGAAGACCTCCTCCCTCTCCCCCACTGGAGGGCTTGCCGTCATCCTCCTCTGTTCCCCTGGATCTTGCATTGCAGGCTGATTTCTCTGCAGGTAGCAGGTGAGTTAGGGGAGAACTGAACCCCATCTTTATTCTGGTGCCCCTTGCCCAGTAGTGAGCCCCCATCACCACCTAACTGGAGCCTCCAGAGCAGGACCCCAACTCTTCTTACCTTCCTCATGCTGCTCCCTCCCCTTCTAGAGGTGTTTGGCTTCCAGGGACTGTTCTGCTCCGGGCATAGGAAGGTGATGCTTCCGGGTTCAGAAACTGGTCTGCTCCACCACAACATAAGAAGATGTGGAATCTCATCTGGAAAGCATCAGGCCCTCTTAGGAAGACAAAGCCTATGCTCAGGGGTTATGTGACCTGCCCACATCACATGGAATAACACAGGCACCAGCCCTGCCCACAGAAGGCTCCCAGTTTGAGAGTGAGTGAGCATTGCTGCTCAGAACCAAACTGTGCATTGTTCCCTTACTGTTTCCCATTATGTTATTGTTGACTAGAAGAAGGAAGTTGATATTCTTAAGCTACCTATCAAAACCAAATTACGCTTATGGTCCCACCAAATATATGTCACCTGCAAAATCCTCTATTTTTTTTTTCCCAGAACAGAGTCTCGCTCTGTCGCCCAGGCTGGAGTGCAGTGGCGCGATCTCGGCTCACTGCAAGCTCTGCCTCCCGGGTTCACGCCATTCTTCTGTCTCAGCCTCCCCAGTAGCTGGGACTACAGTAGCCCGCCACCATGCCCGGCTAATTTTTTTTTGTCTTTTGGTAGAGACGGTGTTTCACCGCGTTAGCCAGGATGATCTCGATCTCCTGACCTCGTGATCCGCCTGTGTCAGCCTCCCAAAGTGCTGGAATTACAGGCGTGAGCCACCACACCCGGCCCCAAAATCCTCTATCTTAGGCCTGTGTTATCCAATAGCCATTAGCCACCTATGAGTATTGAGAACTTGAAATTTGGCTACTGCAGCTGAGTGAAGGTGTGTATGTCTGTGCCTTTTTATATTGTGGTAAAATATACATAGCACACAATTTACTATTATAATCATGTTTAAGGGTACAATGCAGTGGCACTAAGTACATTTGCATTGTTGTCCAACCACCATTACTATCCATCTCTAGAAATTTTTCATCAACCCAGACTGAAACTCTGTAACCATTAAAGAGTAACTCTCCATTCCCCACTCCTCCTAACCCTGGTAACCACTATTCTACTTTCTGCCTCTATGAATTCTACTATTCTAGGAACCTCATATAAGCAAAATCGTACATCATTTTGTATCTGGCATATTTCACTTAGCACACTGTTTTCAAGGTTCGTTCTTGAAAGTATGTAGCATGCATTAGAATCTCATACCTTTTTTTTTTTGAGATGGAGTCTCACTCAGTCGCCCAGGCTGGAGTGCAGTGGCACATTCTCGGCTCACTACAAGCTCCGCCTCCCAGGTTCATGCCATTCTCCTGCCTCAGCCTCTGGAGTAGCTGGGACTACAGGTACCCACCACCACGCCTGGCTAATTTTTTGTATTTTTAGTAGAGACAGGGTTTCACTGTGTTAGCCAGGATGGTCTCGATCTCCTGACCTCGTGATCCACCTGCCTTGGCCTCCCAAAGTGCTGGGATTACAGGCATGAGCCACCGCACCCAGCCAGAATCTCATACCTTTTTTAAGGCTGAATAATATTCCATTGTATGTACATACCATATTTTGTTTACCTATTCATCCATCAATGGACATTTGGGTCAATTTCACCTTTTGACTATTCTGAAGAATGGTGCTATGAACATAGATGTACAAATAAATACCTCTGTGACATCCCATTTTCAATTCTTTTGAAGGTGGAATTACTGGGTCATATGGTAACTCTATTTTTAATTTTTTGAGGAATGAACGGACCATTTTCCACAGTGACTCCACCATTCTGTGTTCCTACCAGCAAGGCATGAGGGTTCCAGTTTCTCCTCATCCTCGCCAACAGTTATTTTCTGGTTTGGTTTGATTTGGTTTCGTTTTTAATAGTAGCCATCCTAATGGGTGTGAAGTGGCATCTCACTGTGGTTTTGAAGTGTGTTTCCCTAATGATTAGTGATTTTGAGCATCTTATTTTTATTTATTTATTTTTTTTGAGACAGAGCCTCACTCTGTCGCCCAGGCTGGAGTGCCATGTTGCCATCTCGGCTCACTGCTACCTCCTGGGTTCAAGCAATTCTCATGCCTCAGCCTTCTGAGTAGCTGGGATTATAGACGTGTACCACCACATGTGGCTGATTTTTGTGTTTTTAGTAGAGATGGGGTTTCACCGTGTTGGTCAGGCTGGTCTTGAACTCCTGACCTCAAATGATCTGCCCACCTCAGCCTCCCAAAGTGCTGGGGTTACAGGTGTGAGCTACCTCAGCCGGCCTTGAGCATCTTTTCATATGTTTATTTTCCAT